TTCATAAAGCCAAAGTTCTAATGCATCATCTCAGATATTTTCTGTGCTGTATGTTATGTCTGCTGAACATAAGTCTCCCCCATAGATTGCCATAACCGAACCGCCTGTTTCTACTGACTCCCTGCAATGCCTTTAACGTTGTCACTCTATCTAGTGGGGGATCGTCCTACACTGCGTTTGCCGGTACGGGATCACTACTCAAGTACTCAAGAACCTTCTTTCTCCATCAGTTGTCAATTCTTCGAGCTATGTGACCAGCCCATAATATCGGTCTCAAATGCTTTTTATTCTGTTTCTAATTTCTAGCCCCACAATTAAAAAAAGAAGAAATCTTTTTTAAAAATATAATTATTATTTATTTATAACATAACATTTATTAAAATTAGAATATCTTTCATGCCCTTTATCTTGGTGTTGCACAACTTTACTTTGCACAAATTAATGTAACAACAACTTCCGAAATTAAAGGAATTTAATTTTGGAAGTGCGTCATCAGATGATAAAGTATCTTTCGGTGCCACAATTCCAGAATTACAGAAAATTTTGTGTTGTGAAAATAACTCTTCAGTTACAAAATGTAAATGGCTTTCCTATATTCATATTTATAATTGAATATTGCTGTATGCACTTGTTGTAAAATAAAGTCTTTATACAAAAGTCATTTGCATGTACGCCTCTGTCCTGTCTATGTTTTAAGCCGTGAAGCAGCGAAATTTGCAAGACTGTGTGTCTATCTGTAAGATAGGATACCATACCATATCAGCCATTAACTGTCCACTGCTGAACATAAATCTCCCCTAAGAGGATTTTGCAAATAGTTGCCACGCTTAGCAGGCGGTTTGAGAACTGCAGTTATTAATTTACCTGCCAAGCGTAGCAACTACTGCCAAAACTCTCCCTTATGGGGGAGATCTATGTTCAGCAGTGAACAATTAATGGCTGATATGATGATGATGATGAATATAGATTAATTGAAACGTTTTTAGTTTATATAATTAAAGCGTTCATGCGCAGAAGGGGGGCATTTTGTTCGTATACATAATTTTCCCTTTATTCACTTCGCCTGCCCAGACTTTGTAGTCTAACGAGAAATCCTCAAGTGACATCTTTTTTATACTACAATGGTGGCAAACAAGCATACAGCCCATCTGATGGTAAATGGTGCAACTATAGCCTATGGACGCTTGCATATACTGGGGGAAAGGAATTGTTAGCAAGGTGGTGTCAGCCCCATGCACGTTGTCAACCCGTGATAAAGATATATTCATCAGGATGGACTAAATACCTTTTCACACTTATCATTTTGAAAATTCCATTATCATCGTTGAAAAAAAATATATATCTTTTTAGTTATAGTTATAAAATACATTTTGCTCGTAAACAAGCCACTCAAACTGTGAACACACGTCAATAAACGACGAGATGTTTCGTAGACGTCTTACATTATAAATATTTTATTTTAGAACGCGAATTCGCGTATTTACAAGTAAATATTGTTTCACAGCTAATCGTTTTTTTGTTTGTAAAAAAAATCTGTTTTAATCATATAATAAATAAATAAATATTCGGCACTAGCTTTTTGTCCGTTACTTCGAACACGTGGATTTCAGAAATAAGAAAGTCAATGATATAGAAGACTTCTAGATGGTGTGTAAAGGTAAATTTTCTTTTTACATCCAATTTTTAATAATAATTATGATAAATAAATTCTTTAATAAAGGCAACCAGGGCCCACAAAATTTTAACAATATCATTTTTATCAAATTTAAATTATTAAATTGTTACACTTATAAATAAATAACATTGACCTAACCTACTTTTTTTTGTATGTGAACCAGCATATGAATCATTCTGCAACCATTCAAATACTGGCAGTCTGGACGGTCCGCAAATACCCTTCGGATAGCGTTAGAGTTGGCCCGCAAACTTTGTTTCAAGTTAGACCCTCAAGAATGCAACTGTGAAAACCGCATCCAATTTCGTGCAGTAATTTTCGCGTGATACAGGCACAATAATACAGATAGACAATATTTCTAAAAATTATTGTTTTACCATCTGTTGTTCTTATTAAGACCCTTTTATGAAGTTTTTTTTTTAAATATCTCCTCTCATCTCACACATTGTTTAGTTACAAACTTTTTATATCTTACTACATATATTTTATCTCATTAATCATTACTTACATCGCATTAATGGACGAAGTCGCAGGAAAAAATCTATTAACACACACCTGGCTTTCAGAAATTCTCGTTTGATACAGAATTCTACCGTTAAAATGTAGATGATAAAACTTGCACAGAAGCATCAATACAGAGTACGGACCATTAAAGAGACGCAAGCAATGAACATAGTAAAGTTTGCGCCACAGACGCCTGTATTTATGAGCGTCAGGTGTTCACGTGAATACATTATTTATTGAGCCGCATAGAATTGAACGCGGGCATTAGGTGATGTTAATAATTGATGAGCCCGCACGCGTCTACGGTAATGTTGGTCTTTATTGATGAGCAACTATTCCGGCGCCTACGATGTGGTAAGTTTTTTAAACGATTACAGCTGTAATTTTTTGCGCAGCAAAGTGTATCTAACATTTCACTGCGCAAAAAATTAACGGCATAATTCTCGTATTTTCTATTAACCTCACGATTCTAATTTTAAAATATGTAAATAAAATATAGATTTAAAAAATAATTTGAACAACGGCATGTTTGTGAAAACGTTGAAGTTTAAAAATATTTCTTTGTCATTGGCTAAATGCGAAGGCAAAGCCATAAAAAAAGTTTGAATTTAAAAAGCGAAATCGTGTATTGTAAGTAAAAGTAGATTTTACTTTGTAGTAAAGATTTTTTTTTTTATATGATTATATTATTCATTATGCCATTAAACGACGATAATAGTTTTTTAATTTTATAATGACAACATGTTTCGTAAAGACATTTGTTTTATTTTTTGTTTTTTATATTTGAATTTAGAATACGGAATCGTGTATACTCGTATGTCGCGGTCAGATTTAAGAATTGAACACTTCATGATATACGAATAGACTATTTATTATAACAAACAACAAAAAATATTGTCATTATTAAAATCTGACAACAGCTTAGAGAAATGTAGTAATTTTTTTTAATTACAATATCTAGCTTGTATATTTTAAAAAAATTACGGCTCTGGCATCTTATACATTACGAGTGAAGGATTGTTAGTAATGAGGATGTAGCCCTATTACTAGCAATACACCCTGTCAGGTCGACCTCCTCGCGGTCCCCTCTGGTAACCATCATGACAATTCAAAGTAAATGCATCACTATGGGCCAACTAGCCTCCCTTATCATCCTCAGCTTTCATCCCTCATTGGTGCCCCGACAGCGTATACCGTTAGCGCAGGCGGTTACCACTCCATTATCATCCATTTAAATATACATCACATTGAAATCGCTCTTTTTATATCTGAAATCGTTTAAAACATATAGTCAAAATAAATCAATCTTGCCAACATTAGGCAAGAGAATGTTCATATTTTGCTGTAAGTAATAAAACTATTTATCTTGCAGAATTGCGACCGCTTTATATTATTAAGTACTATTTCCCCTGAAATACCTTCGTAAGCTGAAACACTGCCAAAATGCGGTAATAAAGTAGGTTATTACCATAAATGTCTTAGGTTAGGTAAGTAGTAAGTTGATGTCTATTATAAGTTATATAAAATATTAAATCTGCAGTCTACAGGCGACGGTAACTACCTATTTTCCATCAAGTAAGCTATAAGTCGTGTAGTCCTGGCATAGAATGGGCCTCTCCTTTCCCGTGGACAGATAGACATGCAACGAACAACGTAAGGTTCACGAAAGACGAAGCGTGCGCGCGAACATTGTAAAATTAAATTAAAATTAATCCTAAATAATTATGGAAAAACATACTTTATTCTGTAAAACAACAGTGCTCATTTTCTTTTGTCTTATTTTAAATTTACACATGTAAAGATATTTATACATAATAAAAAACAATATTTGATTCTAGATCATAATTGAAAAACTGAACAGGTTTTAATGAAATTTAATGTAAAGAAAGTCTGTAACCATACTTTCTACATAACTATAGTAGTCGTACATATATTCTAATTTATGTAAACAAAACTATGGGTCGCAGTTAGTATTATATTAAGATTGTTACTGAAATATGTACACTAGCGGTGAAGCGTTGATGATTCGAAGATTCTGATGGTAATATAATGTAATTTATTCATTTTTTTGAAAAGTTACATCAACAGTGTAATTACAGATATTAATTACGATAAATGAGGTCCTAGTTCGATTTTCGGTAAAGCAATTTTACAATTTTTCAAATTCATAATATTATCATAGTTTTAGGAGCTTCATAGTAGTTGTATACATAGTGATATTATGGGTCTCTCTGGAAACAATATTTCTATTAATTGTAATGTGAACATCCTTGTTTTTTTTTTATTAATTGATGATAATGGAGTGGTAACCTCCTCTTTCCTCTTGGACGCCGTGTGAACCGGTCGTGTGCAAAGTGAATCTTTTACGAAATATATTTTTTTTTTTTTTTTTAATGAATAAATAAATTTATTACTGCAATTAAATCCAGTGGGTACAGGCTTTCATAAGGTGATAGGAGTATCAGCTTTGGATTTGAGTGAAGCAGAGACATAGGGGTGAGCGAATTATTATATGTTTTGCTGCTGATGTTTAATACTGGCTACGGTGGCTGTTTGAGAATTGGCTAATTATGATCCCGCCCACCTGCGCCTAAGCAAGTTTTATGGGGCGTGGCAGTTTGAAGCAATTACCGCAGGTAACTGAAGGTGCTATTGTTTAACCGCAGATATATTTAGTTTGCTGTTGGAACATTAAATAGCCCTAAATATAGGCCTGTACGTGTGTAAATTTCTTACACTACCCTACAGTTTTTTATTTTTGTTGGAACTACTGCATTTATTTGGATCTTTTCTATAATTAACTACATAGAATACCTGTAAGATGTCAATGCAAAGAACTCCGACCAAGGATGATTCTAAATCAGTATCTCTTAGAGAAAAACATGCTTCCTCAACTCCAAACTTAAATGAAATTGAACATTCAACTATGCGCCCATTAAAAAGGAAGCAAAATGATGATTGTGAGTCTATGCTATCTAGAATGGAAGAAATGCTTAAGATATGGCAGAGTAAACAAGAGAAAAAAATGGAGACATTTCTTTGTAAAATTTCAGATAAGCAACTTGAAATACATACTTCTATGGAATTTATATCCAAGCAGTACGAAGATATGAAAGTTATGATCGAAACGCTTTTAGAGGAAAAAAAGGAAAATAAATTATATATTAAATCTTTGGAAAGCAGGATAGAAAAATTAGAAAAAAGGTGTCGATCTTCAACCATGGAAATTCGCAACGTCCCTGTGTTAGTTAATGAAACGGCTTCTTCTTTATCGGATGTTATATTCACGTTAGGAAAGGTTGCTCAGGTTCCCATAGAAAAAACTGATATCAAAAATCTATTTAGAATGCAAAGTTCGGGAGAAAATAAACCGATTATTGTGGAGTTCACGTCTGATTTGGTCAAAGATAATTTGCTTCAATCGATTAAACAATTTAATCGTACAAATAAAGGGAATTTCCTTAAGTCTTCAGATCTGGGTATCCCAGGCACAGCAAAACAAGTTTATGTGTCTGAGTCGCTTACAGCTAATGCTAAAAAACTATTCTACCTTACGAGGAACTTCGCCAAGTCATACGATTATAACTTTGCTTGGACGTCTCATGGAAACATTTTTGTACGTAGGAGGCAGGGAGATCCGGCTATGCGTATTGGCAGTGAGGAAGACCTACAGAATCTGGCCACTAAATGACTAATATCTGTAAAATTATATTTTATAATACTTATTTCGCTTACTCTTGTGTGTGTTGAAATTGTTTATATTTTTTATATTTCTTTTTGTAAAACACAATACAGTGTCATACTAAATAAATATACACAAATGGTACACATTACTCTCACATCTAACGTTATATATAAAATAGTTTTTGTATACTCACAATCATCAATTTATGAAATATATTTTCACAACAATATTTTACTACAAAGATATGTACTAATATTATTGACTATTCTCACATATAATATGTACATTGAATTTCATGCATGCATAGAAGTATTGCCTTTTTTGTTCTCACTCTTTTCATTAATAAACAACAACCACTTCAATTACAAAATCATACTACAAAAATATACAGAAATACTACACACTACAATCATAATTCGTAATATAATATACAAACATTTTATTACATATACAGAAACACTCACATTACTTTCACTTTTTATACTAATCCATAATATCCGCAGCAATTGTTATAACGCATATTATTATACATGCGCATATTATACTCCCTATAATCAATATTTACTCCTTATAGGCATATATGTAAATATATTATATTATTACAAATATATACAAACTATAATGCAATGCAAACTATGTGTTACTTTTGCCGCAAAACAAAGTTATATATTAGGAAGAATTATAACTCCTCAATACTGTTCCTGTGTATTATATATAATTAAAATTCAATAGTTTACCTGATTTATTAAACTCCATAGATAATTTTAATCTTTCGATACCTATAAGTTGTGATCCAGAGAATTGTACCTCTTATTTAAATAATTCAAATAAATATTTAAAAATACTACAACAAAATATTCGTAGCATAAACTGTAATTTTAATAACCTTAATGTAATGTTAACAAGATTTAATTTTGATTGTGATATAATTGTACTATCTGAATGTTGGCTATCTCATTTAATTCAAATACCTCACTTAGACGGGTATAAAATATATAAAACAAATAAATCGTATAATCAAAATGATGGAGTAGTAGTTTATACTCGCAATCACATTGTTTGTAAGGTCACTGAGCCTGAATTTCTAGAAGCAAATTGTTTAATTATAGAAATAAATAAGAGTACAATCTTAATTACAATATATAGACCACCAAGTTTTGTAAAGATAGATACCTTTCTAGAATCCTTACATAAACTGCTTTCTACATTAACTTCATACTCTAATATAATAATAGTGGGAGATATCAATATAAATATTCGCAACACAAATGCTACTGTATCTGCTTATCTCGATACCTTGTCTTATCATGGCCTATTGCCTACCAGTTATGATGCAACTAGAACTAACAGTTGTTTAGATCACGTTATACTAAAAACAAAATCTCCAGCATATACCTTTACACTACAGACTTCAATAACTGATCATGAAGCTGTTTTACTTTGTTTAAGTAAAGACCATAAAGACCATTTACGCAACATATCTGTCAAAAAAACTTTACACAAATTTGATTATAAATCGTTTCATTCTGAATGTACTACTAAAATGAATGTTGCAACTATATATAAGGAAAGGGACCCGGACATGGCTATGAATATATTTATTGATACATTATCTAAAATAATTTTAAATAATACGATTTGTATTAAAGTACCACGAACAAAAATAACAATTAAACCCTGGATCACACAGGGTTTACTTCGTTGCATAAAAAATAGGGACGGAATGCACAAAAAGATCAAAGCAGAACCGAACAATATCATTTTAAAAGTAACGTATATCCGCTATCGAAATTATTGTAATAATATGTTAAAAAAATTAAAGAAACAGTATGAACGCGATCAACTATTAAATTCTAAAAACAATTCAAAAAAGTTATGGAATACAATTAAAACAGTGACTCATATTAATACTCAAAATTCCGTCCCACACGAACTTTTGACAGATAATACTTCGAACTCTATAAATGAGATAAATAACTTCTTTGCCAATATAGAAAAACGATTAGCTGAAAATATTCCTATAAATGTATCTTCTCAAACAGTATCTATGTCAAAGAATTCGCCAGGGACTTCAAATTCGTTTATACTTTTGCCTACAGACAGCACAGAGGTTGAGCAAATTATTAATGGATTAAAAAGTGACTGCTCACCTGGCTGGGATTTTATTAGTGCGAAAGCACTGAAGTCAATTGCAGACTTGATATCACCTGTTCTTGCAGATCTGTTTAATAGATGCATAGAGAGGGGTATATTTCCAAGAGCCCTTAAAAAATCCATTATTCTCCCAATATTTAAGGCAGGAGATAGGTCTAAAGTAAATGACTATCGTCCAATATCGATTCTCAATACATTTTCAAAAATATTTGAACGTATCATTAATACCAGACTTTTGAAATATTTAGAAAAATATAAATTATTAGCTGATACTCAGTATGGTTTTCGCTCTGGTCGATCGACTGATGATGCAGTACAAGCCTTGACCGAATTTGTGGTACAACATTTGGATAAAAATAGGAAGTGTTTATCAATATTTATCGATCTTGCTAAGGCCTTCGATACTGTGTCTGTTCCTCACCTCCTTAATAAATTGGAACTTCTGGGCATACGTGGCACTCCACTTACATTATTGTCAAGTTACCTGACTGACAGAACACAATGTGTTAAAATTGGAGAGTTAATTAGTAATGAAGCTTCTGTTATTTACGGCGTGCCACAAGGGAGTATTTTAGGACCTACACTTTTTCTCTGTTACATAAACGATCTCTGTAAACTTAACTTATTGAATTGTAGAGTTACCACATATGCAGATGATACTGCACTAACATTCTATGCAAAAACTTGGGAAGAGCTTAAATATATAGCACAAAATGGATTTACGACTGTTTGTCTTTGGCTTGCTCATAACAAGTTATCACTGAATGCTGGTAAAACCAAGTATATGATATATACAATAAAAAATCAACAAAGTAATCTAGATGCTTTTCCCCTTATTGCTCATAACTGTTCTTTTGATTTTAATGTTCAATGTACATGCCCAACACTCACAATGGTTGATAATATAAAATACTTGGGTGTTATTATAGACAGAAAGCTTAGATTTAATGATCATATACACATGGTATCACAAAAAATTAGAAAATTGACTTACCTGTTTTAATACCTCCGATGTATTGCAGATAAACGCACTATGAAAATAATATATTTTGCACTAGTGGAATCTATTTTAACATACTGCATTAAAATTTGGGGCGGATCGCCCAAATACATTCTGCTGGAGTTGGAAAGAGCGCAAAGAATGCTTTTAAAAGTATGTCTATTTAAAACTAAACTATATCCTACTGATCAATTATATAAAGATGCGGGATTTCTTACAGTTAGACAGCTTTACTTATTATATGTTGCGCGTTATCAACATACAAGATTAAGTATAAACACAAGTAAAAATATTTTAATGAGTAGAAGAAATTATGCTTTGGGTAGATCTACCTCCGTGAAGACAACGTTTGCTCAAAAATTTTTATATTTCCGTGCAGGTAGAATATATAATCATATAAACAAAAAATTAACATATACAATACTACTAAATATATATTAAAGAGAAAGTTATTTCAATATTTGAGTTCCCTTAGTTACCAAGAAACGGAAAAGATTATGGAAATAAAACAGTAACACACACACACACACACACACACACACACACACACACACACACACACACACACACATACACACACACACACACACACACACACACACACACACACACACACACACACACACACACACACACACACACACACGCATGCACGCACGTTCGCACACATACAGGAAACAGGAATTGTACGTATTGATTAACCTGATTTTACCAGAGGGAGACTTTGTATAAAAGTCGATTGCTTGGGTACCTCTGTCCCATTCGTGTTTCAACCATATAGCAGTTGTATTTGCATGGCTGTGTTTCGGTTTGTAGGGTGGAATATGGCGTGAATTTACTGGGTACAGAGGAATAACACCTGAGTCCTCAGGAATGGCAACGCATAGAGGGTATCATGGGCGAAACAGTGTAGTCTGGCTCATGTCTATAGGCGACGGTTACCACTTTCCATCAGGTGGGCCGTCAGCTTGTTTGCAATTCTAAGTTGTATAAAAAAAACCTCGAAACCCCCTGTCTCGAGATTAATCAATCAAATATCAATAAAGTAAAGTAATGTAAAGTGAACTCTCTTTTTCATACTTAGCCTCTCACTTGGATGATGATAGTATTTCAGACGATGATAAACAAGTTTCTAGTAACTAATTTAAAAATTCCGTTCGTTAACCTACTTCTAAAATGAGAATTAGATTTTCCTTGCAAAATAACAAAGCAGCCGGTGAACTGTAAAACAATTGGAAACCAAACAAACAATTTCTACGGGCAACTGCTTTTAAAATATCAATCGACGATTTTCTGATTCACAACTGTAACCAAATTCCAATTTATAACAGCCCTTGTATTGGTTTCTTATTAAAACTCCCACCTTTTAACAATAACACTAAAGGGCCTCAGAGATTCATTGACTCCGGTTGAGATCATAGTTCTCTTTTACTATTTTTTTTTTTTATTTACAAAATGTTTATGTAAATAAACATACATAAGGGCATTGAAAGAAGCGAGTAAGGGAACTTAATGATCAAGCGATATACAGCAGTGTGGGGGACACTGTTGACCATCTCTCGACCATGAAGATTAAATCTAGTCTTCAGTCGATAGTAACTACTTATTTTCTATAAGCTGGGTGGTACCGGCATAGAATGAGCCACCTCTTATTTTCCCATAGGTGTCGTAAGAGGCGACTAAAAGAGTGTATTGGTCAAGGGGTTGGCAGCAGCGTCTTTTTTAAAACATCACTAAAAGCCTAACTGCTTTTAAGGAAAACTCCTTTTTCAAATTGATTGGAAAATCACATCTATTATACTTACTATATTATTATAAATTTGTGTAAGCGAATTTGTTTGTTTATTGCCTT